TTTAATATTGTATTTTGTTTATCAAGAAAATTATACCATAAAAAATTCTAAAGTTCTTTTTTTGGGAAGTCATTTGAAACAGTCAATAAAATTTTACCACTATTAATGTTTGCTTCCATTCGCTCATGGGCTTCTTTAACTTGATCGAGTGACATTACTGAATCAATAATTGGCGTAAAAACATGAGATGTGAATTTATCCATTGAAGACTGAACAAAACCTTCAACTAAAAACTTTTTGTACTAAAAGAAAAGAGAAATAACAAGAAAATTCATTTAGAAAAAATACAATACATAATTTCTATGCTTTTTTTTAAATATAAAGCAGGGCGGATCTAGGGGGTATCCTGTGTTGCCCAGGATTTACCCATAATATTCTAAGAAATTAAAAAAAATTCCGTTTCATAATCTAAAAAATACTAAACTTAAATTTATAGTATACTAATATGTATATATGAGTTCTATATAAAAAAAAAACATTGCCTTTATAGAAAAACATACACGGCTATAACAATGTTTCAGACTTAGCTCTCCTCCGTCATGTTCAAAACGCCGCAATTAAATCAGGATTCTTTTTTTAAAGTAAACGGTACCGAAAGAACCCTTTTAATCAATCGTTATTGCAATGTATTTATTTTGCTTGCCGTAATAAAGGCCAAAAAAATCCCTATTATTTCAGGATTCATTTGACCCGAATTTCCGGTAGATAACAAAAAAAGTTGCAGCAACGTTTGATCAAAAGGGTTCTCTCGGTTCCGTTTATATATAAAAATGAATCCTTAATTATTCTAATAACGCCTTAATTATTCGCATAAAGCCTTAAGTATTCGAATAAATTGAAGTTTATCAAAAATTAGCTAATAAGTAGTTTTATTACAAATTTTATTTTTGTTTACAATTATGGATTTGTTGCTATCCAATGCCATTGAAGCCAAGCATTTGCCTAATATTACAACTTACAAAGCAAAGCTTCGTAATAATCTTAAAGAATTAAATTCAAACTTTCCTGTTGTAAACAAAGATCTTTTTTCTTTAAGAAATTCTGAAATGGAAGCTTTTATTCCTATGCAAAAAGAAAATGAAGACTATATTGTTTTAAAGTAAGAGTTTAAACACGTTTTTTTTATGTTTTATTATGTTTATAAAACAATAATTCTTGAAAAATAATGTTTAGTTAAATATGTTTGTTTTAGTTATATTTAGTATATATATATGTTATGACTTAACAGGTCAATGGAGAATGGTAACTGTCTTTACAACTCTGCTGCTTTATTAATAAATTCATCAGATAAAACACATGAAATTCTTCGACTATTAACTTCTGTTGAGTTGTTTGAGAAAGCAACCTTTTATTTGAGATACCCAATAATCTTAAACCAAGTGGAATCTAAAAGTTTTTCCTCGCTCTCTAGTGTTTTCATGGCATGTGTTTCATTTGAGTCTTCTGATTCTTTTACAGAATTAAATGATATAAATATTGCTGAACTTATAAAAAAAGAAGCCTATAACAATTGCAGAAACAATAAGTTTGCTTCTTTTCTTTGTTTAATTGCATTATCTACAGTGTTAAATAAACAAATTCGGTCTATTTATCCTGAATTCGGACTTGAAAAATATAAAAAGTTATTTAATGTATGTATATACCCACGTGGTTATCATAAAACAAATAAAGAAATTCTGAGTATTTTATGGTGTAACACTGATTGTCGCTCTATTTCCAAGGATAAAGATATGTGGTCACCAAATCATTTTGTCCCTATTGTGAAAAGAGAAGTTTTATGCTCAAAGAAATTTGACAAAAGTGATTTAAAAAGAGGATTGTGTTCAGTTTTGCCAAGTGTTTTATCCCATTCTTCTGTTAACACTAAGGTTCTTAATTTATCTTGTCAACCTCCTAAAAATCTATTTTCAAAAAAAAAATCAATAGTTCAATCTCACATAAAGTTTGGCATAAGTAATGAAACTAAAATTATAGATGTAAATATTGATATTACTCCTAATCCAATCTTAATTGTATTTCTTGTTCATCGGATCAGTCTTTAAGCCTTCCTTTTTATGATGTTTCTACTTACTATGAGCGCGGTAGACAACTATTTGCTGGCAAAGATGATTCAATGTTATTAGATCTAGTTAATAAAATATTTATTCCTAACTCGTCTTTTGTTTTTCCTATTTCTGGTGAAAAAAATAAACGATTATTTTTACATAAATGGCTACTTGAATATTCCTGGTTAGCTTACTCACAGATTGAAGATGGAGCATACTGCCTTCCATGTACACTGTTGGGAAGCAGAATTCCAAACAATACCTCAATAATCAACTTCATTTGAAAACCTTTTAAAATATGGGGTAATGCAATTTGTGCTTACATGGATCACAATAATAATTGTCGACTTCATCAAATGTCAATGCATTGTCTTAACATGCTGCAATCTAGATCTAATTCAAAAAAAAATCTGATTGAAGTTGACATCGATAATCAGAGAAAAAAACTTATTATAAGTAATCGAAATAAATTAATTCCAATTATAAATACAATTATTTTTCTTGGCCGCAATGATATTGCTTTTCGAGGTCATCGTGATGGCAGTAAGTATCATACAGAGATCGGAGAAACATGTAAAAACAACATTGGTGTAGGTAACTTTGTAGAGCTTTTAAATTTTCGCATTGAAGCAGGTGATATAGTTCTTGAGCACCATATTCGTTCTGCTCCTAAAAATGCAACCTATATATCTAAAACCACACAAAACGAACTTATTGAATGCTGTGGAAAAACAATCAAAGAAGTTCTAATTAATAAAATTAAAAATTCAGGTTATTTTTCTATCTTGTGTGATGGAGCCTCTGATTGTTCTAATGTTGAACAGCTATCTCTAGTTATAAGATACATTGACTGTGATAATGTTATTTGTGAAGATTTTCTACGGTTCATTGAATGTAAATCTGGTACAACTGGTCTTAGTCTTGTGGAAAACATAGTTTCTGCAATTAATGATCTTGGTCTTGATATCCAAAAATGTAGAGGTCAAGGATATGATGGTGCTGGGGCAATGTCTGGTAAATTAAAAGGTATTTCATCAAGAATTAAATTTATCAATTCAAAAGCTATTTTTGTTCACTGCGCATGCCATAAACTTAATTTAGTTGTAAGTAAATCATGCAATGTTCAGAGTGTTAGAAATGTTTTTGATTAAATCAAAGATATATCATATTTTTTTAACTTATCACCTAAACGTGCCAGCTGTCTTAATAAATTCATTTTTCCTGGTCAAGCAAAATTAATCGATACATGTCGAACTAGATGGGTTCAGAAACTTAAAGGTCTGGATGTTTTTTTTGATAACTACATATCTGTTTTTCATTCAATGGAAGAAATGGCATACAATGAATGTAAGAGTTATAATATTGATACTTCTTCAAAAGCTTCATGTTTTTTAAATCTTATGACTAATTTTTCTTTTATTGTAAGTTTAGTTTTAACCAAACAAATAATGGACTATTTCTATGCCATCACTGTTGTTCTTCAAACTAAAGCGTTTGATATATCACAACAGTATAATGAAACAAATTGTTAAAAAACTCAAAAAAAAAAAACAATCAATCTGTGATCCCATCCACTATTACAGAAACTTTAAAATCTATTGATATGAGGGGTTTCCCAAACATTAGGGAAGGTTTTTTAATAATGGGAACAATTCCAATTACTACATGTGAATGCGAGAGGAGCATTTCTGTTATATGAAGACTAAAAACTTATATGCGAAGCCGCATGACAAGATTTAATTCTTTAGCTCTGATGTCTATTCATCAAGAAATAATTCCTGATGTAGAAAGAGTTTTGAATATTTTTTCTGTTTTAGGGGAACAACGCTTAGAGTTAGTTTTTACCTAATATTAATTTATTAATTTCTTTTTTATTTATTGACTATATTCTTGTATTTTAGTTTGTTTTATATTTAAGTTTATTTTATATTTCATGAAAATTAGAAAAAAAAAAAATTGAAAAAAAAAAACTTAAAAAAAAAAAATTGGCCTAACTGCCTATCAAGAAAAGGAAAGAATCCAGAAATGGAGGGCTAACCTAAGGCAACAATACAATTACTTTACACTAACTGCCTATCAAGAAAAGGAAAGAATCCAGAAATTGAGGGCTAACCTTAGGCCACATGACAGTTTACAGATGGAGTGCAAAGTCCTATGGCTTACCTTCTCGTTGGTGCACTTCGTTAAATAGGTTAGACAAGTAAAAAATGTCTAATTTAAGAACAGAATAGCCAAGGCAATATTGTTGTTAGTTTTGTTTTATATGGGTAATTGAGAACAATGCCCAGTAAGTAATAATAAAGTACTGATGCCGCTTTGAACTCCCCCCCTCGCTAGCCCGGGGAAGGGGCTTACAAAAAAAATATTGCAAACTATTTTGGCAACTTGAAAAAAAAAACAGGCAACACCCACAAAAAATCCTGCATCCGCCCCTGTAAAGTGTAATAATGAATAGTCTGGGTACCATGACTTGTGGCTTATTGACAATTTTAGTGATATTTCTTTTCTATGATTTGCATTTAAAGGGTGTATACTTAATTTCTGACCCCCTATATCTTGGTTTAAGAATACGGTATTTCAACACATACCATTTTATTACTGTCATATCAATTTAATTAGACAAAGAATATATGTTAACAGTCAGTAATCAGTATTTTGTCCATTTCTTTCTATGCATTGGGTAATTCTCCTTGTCAGGCTTTCTACTGGGCGAAAACACTCTCCTTGCGTAATTGAAGCCCACTCCTGTTCAAGACTTCTGATCAACTGTTCACGATTACGAGGTCAAGGATTGTGTAAAACACTATCCTGGAGTCTTGACCAAATATGTTCGATGACATTTAAGTCGGGCGAGTTGCCAGGCCAGCTAAAACTATAGTCATAATGCCAAAGGCCGTGGAAGACAAGAAGAATGAAAATATCATTTTTATGTATGTTGACAAAATGGCTCCCATATACATTTTCTGAGGTCATATCCTATCTGAAGTGAGCGTTTTACGTGTAGAAAGTATAGTTACACCAAAATACATACTATAGTATTTTTCGGGCTAAAGTAGCATTTAAGAGAGCAACTCAAAATCTTGTGTTTGTAACGTGTGGGGGGTCAGAAATTAAGTATACACCCTGTATAACTTTTTATTAATAATATTATCATGGCTTATTTGAAGATCTAAAAAATAAACTAAAAAAAGTGTTACACCTATTTTTGTGCAAATTTTACATCCTTATTTACCCTAATATGCTATAAAAAAGGACGTCTAAAGTAAAACAAATCTTAAATTAAATAAATGTTACTTTAACACAAGAAAAAAAATTTTGACACAGATGTTTTACCCTTTTATACAGTCATTAAGCTGTTCTGAGTCTGTGGCGCAGTAGCCGACAAAGCGTTTTTACATTTGACTGGAAATATCCCACAGTCAAAAATGAGATTTGCTTAAACAGACTTTCTCTTATTCATAAGTGCTAGGATGATTTTTTTGATGCTTGAGATATGACAATTTTAAGAATTAAGTAAACTTTTTAAAATTAGGTATGTTTATGATTATGTCAAATGAAAATGTTTTACAAAAAATTATGGCGATTGGAGTCTAAGAAAGAAATAAAATTGCTTGATAAAGCATTAAAGTAGAAGAGAACATTGATCAAAGTTGTTACAAATTATGATTTATTATTATTATTTTTACTTTAAGTGCCCCAAGAGGTTCTTACGGACTTATCATAGAGCACCGCGGAAGAGCATTTGAAAGGAAGTTCACACCTCCTTCCTTATCGTAGGCGTTGAACCATGGATCTCTAGTTTCTGAGACAAGCGCCAGGAAGGAATTGAAGAACCTGATGACAACGTTCGTTGAAAGTTAAAAAGACGTTCGCGTGAACTACAATTAGTAGAGGTACACAATAAAGATCTTGAAGCATGAAGTGTATAACACTTAAGTATAACACTTTTTAAGAATGACTATGGCAGATTTTGAGATTTAAGAGTGAGTAATATTGACTTCCATATAATTCCATCAAATCTTTTTACTTGTCCATTTCCAGCTGGGTTATATGGGGTTGTTCTGCTAGTCTCAATACCTTTTGTGAAGAACCAGTTTTAATTTAGAAGAAGTTAAAAATGATCCACTATCTGAATGAACATAAATAGGCATACCAAACATGGAAAATAGATCAGTTAAACAATTAACTATTGTCTAAGTTGTCATCTTTTACTGGATAGGCAAAATAAAAACGTGATTACTTATCCACAATGGTAAAAATGTATTGTTCAGTAGTTGAATTAGGTAATGGTCCTTTAAAATTCAGAGATATATGCTCAAAAGGCTGAGTTGTTTTAATTAGGTGCATAGCATTTGAATGGTAGTACTTCGGTTTTATTTTATTACATATCCTACAATCTCTGCATTTTGTTTTACATCTTCTACTGAATAAAATAAGTTTTCTGTCCAATTAAAGTTTCAAGTAATTCGAGGAAGGCAAAGTATAACATGCAAATCATATAGTGAATCAGAACTAATTGCTCCACAACAAACACAAGTAAATTATTTAGACCACTGTTACATTTCCCTGGACGATAATGACAAATAAATCAAACAAAAATGGAGACAAGGATATTTTCCAACGCACTATCTTATCATTATTTTACTGTTTGATTTTTAATTATATATAAATGCTACAGAGCAATGGTCATTGTGATAAGAACAAAATGTCGCTAATGATTTGTGGCTTGAAATATTGCTTGAGCTTCTTTCTCCACTGATGAATAGTATCGTTCACTTCTTTAAAGAGTACATGAATTCTTACACAAGTTCTTTAGCTCATTTAGGAATTGGTCAATTGATTCACCAGATTTTTGCTTACATAAAGATAAAATATGTCTGGCAAATATTTCATTCTTTGGTTTGATATAAACAGAGTCAAGTATATTTGTTGTTTGCTCAAACTCATCACACTCTGAAATATATTCATCCACATTAGATTCGATATGATTAATTTAAATAAACTTGTTGCTCTGGGACATGAGCCTCAATCAGATACTCAATGAGTTTCAAACAAAACTTAACATGATTGAATTTCTTATTTTGGTCATTCATATACAGCACATAAGAGTTAAAGGTGACTCTGTTGATCAGATGACAGAATAAGTTTTTATAACAAGCTTTTTGTCTTTTTCTTTAAGCTGGATATAAGTTTAGCATATAGTCCGATACATTAACTGCACTCATGTTGGCAGTGTAATCACAGATGACCACCTGCTTTTTTCTAGTATCAGGATGACTAACAACATCTTTAACTGCTGCGTTGTGATAAGCGGTGCGACTTCATTGTAACATATTTTTTGTTCCGTTTCAAAGACATCAATTTTTCGAAGAAACCTTAAAAAGATAACACCAAAAAAAAATTTATTTTTCAAATCTGCTAGCAGACTGTTTGTTTGAACAATTGGGACTGTTTAAACAGTCCTAACTGTATCAGTTTGGTTTTGCACAAGTTGTCTGAACAGTGACGGAGATGTGTAGAAACTATCCATGAATATTGTATAACCTTTTTCAAGAAGATTGTGCAGTAATGTCAAGACAATTCTTAAAGTCCTCAGATTATCCTTGGATGCAATTGCATTGCAGGTCCATTGCAATGCTTAATTTCTTTTCATATACAACTACCTGATTCATAGAGCAGGGATAATTTTAGACGAAATCAAATCTCATTTCATAGGTATATATTGTTTCATTAGTAATCTTCATAGATCATTCGAGTCATATTTTAAAAATCTGGAAAATTGTTTAAGTGAAATATCTGGAAAAAATCCAGAATATATTTTCACTTATTTTCCTCTTAATTTTGCTTTTAACTGAGTTGTTTACATTTTTTTTTCCCAAACTTTATTTAATAACGTTTTGGATATCCAGAAAAACTAAAAGTTGAAAAAAATATCAGAAGTTCCGGAAATATCTAGAAAAAGATAATCCCTAAATCTTCCCAGAACATCGGGAACTCATTAATCTCTATATTCTGTTCAGGTGTATACACTGAACAGAATATAGTATAATCCATTGTTTCCTGATAGAAAATCTGGAAACAATGGATTCAAAGGTTTGATCTCATCGATAGAGTTATCTGCATTTGAATCAAATGGGATGGCCATGTTGTTGACAAAATGCAAACATCTCATTAGATGCAAGAAACTATGAAAGGACATTATTCAAGATTTTTTTTTCAAAAAATTATTTTTCCTCAACCAGAGGGATGTAGTGGGGATTTCTTGACAATTAAATTTAAGTACATTACAAGATTGAAAAGGAAAGTTAACATTGTGCTATTTTTGTCGTCTACAGATTTTGGTGATTGAGAAACTTGAATGATCAACTTAATCAAAATACATGTTTTTTTTTTAATGCAAAAATTTTAAAATTATGTTTCAATAAAGACAAAATATCAACTGAGAGAACTTTCGAACATACAATAAGAAAGGAATAATATTAAAAAAATAAAGAATTTTAAAGTAAATGGTTCTGAAGGGTTTGATGTCTAGAAATAAGATAAAGAAACCTCATTACAATAACACTGCTTGTTTTTTTTTTATGAATTTCATTAAAAATTATTCTAACATTTTTTCATTATTTTAACTTGGTTTTATATACATTGAATGAATTCGTATACAGCAACAAATCTTATTAATATTAAACAAAATTAAAATATTTTTTATCAATGTTTAAATTTCTATAAATTTTTAAATTTGTTCATATCTTTAGCAATAAAATATTAACCTCAATAGATCTTGTTCTCAGTGTGCTTGTTAAAAGACTCCCTCGCTTCATTAACAGTTGACTTAGTATAGTTCCCTCTATACATCCTCCACCTAATAAACCATATACAACCCAACGCCCTTCCACACTAAGAACAGCTAAGTTCTGGTGCCAAAAACTTCCACCAACTGGATCAAGAATAACATTAACACCAATTCCTACAAAAATACTGAAGCAATGTGCAGATTATCTCAAATAAAGATCAGAAAATTTTCAAATTTCAAAAATTAAAATGAAATCTACATAAATTTAGCAATAACAAGTTTTACATAAATGTATAATTAAACAAAATATTATTTACCATTAGTTACTTCTTTGACAACCTCTGAAAAAACTGTTGTTTTATAGTTTATGACAACATCAGCACCAAGCTGCTTTGCCTTTTCTATTTTTTCTTCTGTGCCAGCAGTTGCAATTATAAAACAACCAGGAATCTGTTTAGCGAGCTGAATAGCAGCTGTGCCTACTCCGCTCCCAGCTGCATGTATAAGAACAGATTCATTTGGTTGTATTTTAGCCACTAAGTTTATAAGTTGATAGGCTGTTAGCCATACTTCAGGAATCGAAGCAGCACTAACAATATCTATACCTTTAGGTATATTCATAACTTGGCACTGATGCACAACTACATATTCAGCATATCCTCCTCCTAAAATCAAAATAAGACTATTTTAATTAGATTGAATAATTTTTTTTAAAATGAACAAAAACTATGTATATATAAATATATAACAGGCCTTTCCGGGAAGCGTGCGTGGTTGCACGCCTTGTTCGTCCATGTTCAAAGTACTTTTTTTAGACAAACTGACCATGGCAGTTTGCATCTTTTAACTTATAAAGCATTTCAATAATTGGTGGCAAAATACTAAACTTATTTACTAAAAAATAAAAACAAACCTAAAAAGGAAACAAAATTGAAACGAAATATCAAGTTTAAAAAAACTTAAAAATTTAATAATTAAAAAAAATAAAATGTTTTTTTTTCGATAAAAATTTTATACAACTTTTGTACTCTTTTTTTAAGAGTCTTTGTTGAAAAAAAAAAAAATCTTTTATAACAATTTAGCAACAATTGAAAGTTTTGATATGCTATTTATTCACGATTTTTATCAGTCCATATGATTAAGAAACTAATTTGTTATGTACGCTAGAACTATGAAAAACTTTGTTAATTTTTTTCTTCTTATGTTTATTGGTTTTGTACGTCTTTTTGCTTTTAAAAATGTTTTAGCTATATTAGACGTTTTTTTCTCAATATTTATATAATAGGAAAATAAGAAAATAAATTATTTATTTGTAAAAAATATTACTTGATTAATAATTTTTGTAATGACGGAATAAGTTAAATAAAAGAATAACATGGTTTCTTTAATAAATGTATTAATGTATTAAAATGCATGTCTAAAATTTTTTCTTTTATAATGCCTAATTTCCATTGTTAATACGAATTACTAGAGATAATAAACTTAACAATTGCTCTGTTTAAAAAAATGTATTTAAAAACTTATTTAAAAATTATGTATTTAAAAAAGTTTTAAATAGACTCCTAAACATTTGTTAAAAAAGTTCAGTAAAATAATTATTCACTAGCTCTCAAGGGAAATATATTTACTGTCCCAATTAAATAAAGCTCTCAGTATGCTGGACTTTTTGAAAATATCCAACTTGACAAGATTTAAAGACTTATCAAGATTTGTTCAATACAGAAATATGTTGTACATATATTTTGTGTATGCATAATTGGTTGGTTAACTATATAATTTTTTTTTAATTCTTTGTCATTTACAGAAACATCATTATGAGCAGTGCAATCAAAAGATCTAATGCTAGTATACAATGTTTTAATTTAAACGTTCTGGCACATTTTCTGACCCACTCTTCAAATAGTTTGGAGTTCATCAAGCTCTTTTTTGCGTATGGAAACAGTATGCTTTTAAATTCCTTAAAGAAGGTTTGTTTGATTTAAATTATAAAAAAAAGCAGATTTTGTTTAATTTGATTAAAGAAGTTTGTTTGATTTCCTAATAACAAACATTGGGGTTTTAACAGCACACACGTTAGTTGCACCAAGCCCTGTTAGCTAAATCTTGCAATTCTTGCCTCTACAATTCTCATTTTCTTTATAAAACTAACCAAACTCATCCACATTAAATATATATTATTGGAGTTGTAATGAGACAATATTGTCAGCAAAATGATTTTCCTCCACGAAGCTTTCATTTCATTAGTAAAAAATTTTTAACTTCAACGAAGCAAAATTAGAAAAGCAATTTTAATACCAACAGAAATTTTATTTTATTAAAATTTATTTTATGTTCTTATACCTTCAATGTTTGTATTTATTGTGATAAAAACTCACACACACTGTGTTTAAGTTCACAATTAAAAGCAGTACTCTCACACTCAAGTTCACAATAAAAACAGGTTTCTCAAACTAAATATTGGCTCCTCTTCAGCTCAAATGAGCTTAAAATAAGTAACACTTTTTTAAAATTTTTTTATTGTCTTTCACATTAACACTCATTATGTTTTGTACCTTATAATACATAGATCATCCTAGTCATAGCTTAAAAATCCAGAAAATTGTTTGAAAAAATTATCCAGAAAAATCTGGTATTTGTTGTACCTTAATTTCTTTTTAATTTTGCTTTTTAACTAAGTTGTTTTTAATTTTTTTTTTATATTTTCATTTTTTTTCTGAGTAATGAGTGAAAAAGCTTAAAAAACAAATACAGTAAAATCCTGTTAACTCGGACTCCGAAGGGGTATATATTTATTGTCCGACTTAGCGAATGTCTGAATTAAGCAAAGCTCTCGTTAAGTTGGACTTTTTAAAAATGTCTGACTTATTGAGATTTCGAGACTTATCAAATGTTCTTCGATATATAAATATTATGTACATATATATAGAACAATATAATCTTATGTGAAATATATTTTTTTGTATATATAATATATACTATTAACGAAAAAAGTCCAAAATTGATGTTTGTTTCAGTGACTTACGCCATTCTTTTTCAAACAGCTTTGAAGCATTTAAACCTACTCTTCCAATTTCACCACGATCAATTGCTTTACAAACTTCTTCAGTTGTTGACTTTGTCACCGTTTCATCCAACGTTTCATGCTTTATCCAAATTTATGTTACATGCTTTATCCCAATCCTTCTCTAGGGAGACACACATCCGCACTATTTTCACCAGTGCCGGATCGAGGAGGCTATAGCGCCGGAGCCCACAAATTTAGGGGCCCCCACAAATTTTAGAGGATCTTTTTTTTTTTTAAGTCATTTTTAGGCTCTGGCCCATAAAACAGCAAAAACAAGTATAATTTAAAAAAAAATCTTACCTCCTAATAATGCCATGACCTCGTCACCAACACTATTAATAAAATAAATAGCAATAACAAACAGGTTACTAAAATAAATTATTCAACCCAAAAGATATAGGGTAGAATACTTATATATAGATATAAAGATAGGGTAAAAACATTTAACATTTTCATGTCAATAAAAAATTTAAAATAAGTAAAAAATCCAACTAACAAAATTAAAAAGACAACCTGAATGCAGTAACATTTTCACCAACTTTTTCAACAATGCCACTTACTTCAAGTCCTAATATATCAGATTCTCCACTAGGTGGCATATACAATCCTTTCCTTTGAATTGTGTCTGCTCTATTAACACCTGCAGCTGCTACACGAATTAAAATGTAATCTGAAGATGGAAGATCTGGTATTGAAACATCACTGACATACATATTTTCTACACCACCATACTCTTTTAACTGAACAGCTCTCATATTTTTAACTGTTGAACATGTAACAACAATAATAAAAACGATAAACAAACATATATCCTCCATAGCAACAATATGAATTAAATATAATTTCTAATAAAACACAAACAAAATATATATTTAATGTTGCATTTATATAAACATGCGTGTGTGTTTATGTGTGTGTGTATTCACACACACATGTATGCGTGTGTGTGTATTCACACACATTGAATATGCATATACAATATACATATAGTATGTGTAATAATATATCACATTAAAATCTGATTATTAAACAAATCTTTTCTATATTATAAAGCTGACCAATAAATAAAATAAGATTAATAAATATAATAGATACAGTATAAAATTACAATAAAAAATAAATTGATTATAAACTATCTCTTATAAGAGTTTTTAGATTTCAAATGCTGAGCAAGTTTTTTTGTAACTTTAGTTTTTATTTTACATTCGTATTTGTTTTTGGATACCTCTGATACTCCTGCTTTTTCTTCTTTCCAAATACCGCGAAAATTTCTGTGTTCAGGAAATGTTGGCATAAGTGATTTCTCAATAGGTAGGGGCTTATCTTTAAAATAAGAGCTTTCTAGACAGTCTTGGGCAGATATACGTTGTTCTGGATCAAATGTAAACATGCTATTCATCAGAGAAACTCCAGAACTGGATAGCCAAGGAAAGCGCTGCTTGACATTGTTGTAAGGCTGGTGTTTAAACTGAAAATTTTTTGCACCTGGAAGATTGACAAAACCAGGCCATATTTTTTCATTTGGTGAACCAAGTAAATCAATAATAAGTTGCATTTGATTTATCTCAGATTTTCCTGAAAAAAATAATTATAAATCATAATGAACTTTTCCTAATCTAACTAAGAAAAGAAAATTTCATAGAAAAATATTTTACTTACATGATATGTCTAAAAATCAACTATTAAACTAATTGTAAAATAAATACCTATAAAATTGCGGACTTGATTGATTTATACTTTATTTTTTTAATGCAGAATATTTTTTTTTTTAATATTTTATAATCTTTCATAATATGAAAAAATATCTATGATCACTTTTGAAGTAATATTTATTAAAAGTATAATTGTAATAAATTATGTAAATTTTTCAACTAAATAATGATCATGAGTTGCTAGAAAGACCACAGTAGCCACAGCAACCACAGGTGGATACAACAAAAAAATTTTAATATATTCTAACAAAAATTGAAGAAATTTTTAACAAAAATAAAAAAAGTAAAAATTTTTTTTCATTTTCTTTCAAACAACAATTAATTTTTTTTCCCCTAATCTTAACAGTTAAAACTTGGAATTTTCAAAATTCTGTAAATGCTAATTGTTTTTATAAATACTAGCTGTCTGAACCCGTAAAATGGGTCATTGTAAGACTTTTTACACTTAAGATATATAAACTTATACTTGATATATTTATTTATAAATTTTTTAGTAAATTACTAAAAAACTTACTAAAAAAAAATTTGACTCTTTACAGTGTTAAATGCGCCGACTTAATTACATACTCTTAATTTTCATAAATTTTTCCCACCCACCCTGACCTTATTAAACCTCTCAATCATTAATTTTTACTTGTTATCAACAAAAAAAAATCTCAAAACTAAAAAAAAAAAAAAAAAATAAGAATATATATATATATATATATATATATATTTATATATATATATATATATATATATATATATATATATATATATATATATATATATATATATCAGTCACTGATAAAAATAAAAATATTCAGTTTAAGCCTTTAAAAAATTTTGTATGTTTTAATTTGTCAAAAATTAGGTTTTTGTTTATTCTAGACTATAAAACTTACCATAGTAACCATAGTATAAAAAAACTTATATAAGCATATTAAAGCCTATTGAAATTAGGAAAAAATAGCTGTTTAAAAATGTGACCACAAGCGACACTAGAATTAAAATGTTTTATTTGTGTTCTGAAAAAAATTACCACCCACCCGTTTATTAAGACCCCCTTTCTGGACCTAGACCAAAACTCCTATCACATCTTTTATTCCTACCCTTGTATTAAGCATGCGAGAATAAACATGTTTTTTAATATGAGAAACTTTCACATGGATGCGTAAAAACCTTCAAGTTATTTTTAGAAAGTCCAAGTTGTTTTAAGAAATTTCAGGTTTTAAAAAATTCTGACTGTTCCGCTAAGTATTATTCACTTCTGTTATTGGGTAGGCGAGATATTAAAATTTGGGTAGTAGAGTTATTTTAACTAAAAATAATCAAGATTTTAAAACAAGAGGAATATCTGTTATCAAAATAAAATTTTTATATCACTCTTAATTAATATAAATAAATAATATAATGAAAAATTTTTTAGCATAATTTTTTCAAATTTTTTTTACATATTAACAATTATCCATTTTGTAAATGTAACAATAATCAATTTTGTATCACATAAATACGTCATCCAATTAATCTTAAAAAAGATAATTGTGACATAAATTGAAAAATAAATCACACATTAAAGCTAGAAAGTAACCTGTTGTGATACTACAGTTGCTGTTGTTAATGCAGCATTTTATTAGTGTTGTTAAATAGACTAATATATATCATGTAGGTTAGTATACTAATACACATTATGTAGGCTGCATTAAAGAAATCATAGCTTCTGTTATATACCAGTTTCAAAAAAAAAGTGTGTGTGCGCGAGTACTTGGTTGAAACATATTTAATGTAGGGTAGAGCGGGGCATATTGAGATAGTGGGGCAAAACGAGACAGTTATGCCTGAAGCATTATATCACAGCTAAAAACTTTTTTTTTTTTAAATTTTTTTTTGATAAAACATTTTAAATTATTTTGCTTCATTATTGTAAAAAAAAATTTAATTTAGAAATTCCAAAATGCATCAGTAAAGTAGCGAAAAAAAGAAATTTGTATTTTTTCTTAAGCGATGCAACAAGAAAAGATTTGATTTGCTTTATTTATAAAAAATTTATTTTTCAGACAGTATTTTTTATCCTCTTTTAGAATTTGATATTAAAAAGATCTGGTATTGAACTTTTTGAATAGTACTAATTTCATTAAAATGACTTTTGGGAGGCATATTGAGACAACAAGTTATTTAAATAATTGACTATATTACTCTAAATTATTGCTCTATATTAGCATATTGCCAGCTCATCAAAAATGTTGCCAAATAGTTTCAGGACATTTTTTGTTTGATTTATGTGGTCCATAATATTTTTTGTTTAATTTTAAATTTAGTAGTAGTTACCAATTTAACAATATATACTTGTTTTGCCCTACTTAATTTTTAGAACAATTTCTTAAGTTAGTTTGTTTAAGAGTATTTTATAATAAAACACAAAAAATTTTTCTTATTTAAGTTGTTATTTCTTTTGTGTGGTGTATGGATGTATAGGCATGTATTTTTTATGGGTATGTTACTTTTTTGAGAGTTTAATGTCTGAACATGTTTAAATGATATAGCCTTTATTTTTTATTATTTTTAAAATTTTACAATTAAAAATTAACTACCGATTTTTAACTGTCACATTTTGCTCCACCCACTTACAAAATGTAAAAAGTTTGCTAGTCTTCGAGTTTCGTTACTCTAATGTAAAAAGTTTGCTAGTCTAGAGTTTCGTTACTCTAATTGTTGTAGATTAATAAAAATTGATCAAAAATTAAAAAAAAAAAAATTATCTATTCATTTATAGTTTGTTTTTGTCACGCTTTCTTAATAACTTTTTTAATTACGAGAGTTAGTTAAGAGAAACTTCTCTTAATTCTCCTAACTACTTTTTTAGTTTGTGAGTTAGTTAGAAGTTAGTTAGAAATTTGGTCTCAAAAAAATATTTTGTGACCGAATTTCTAACTAATTTTTAAAGAATTTGTAATACTTTTCATATCAACTTATCAGGTTTGCATATATGAAGTGAAGTGAAGATAAAATTGTTTAAATATTCTTTAAAAATGGATTTTCATTGTAAAACATACTAATTAAAAACATTTTCTTTTTGCTTTTTATGATTGTTACATAATTATGCAATAGTATTTTGTAAAATGCTTTACTTAATTATTTGATCATTATATTTATTTCATAATTAATTTTATAAAATGTACAGAAAAAACAAACATTTTAATGAAAATTAACAACTTAATTAAACAAACAAGTAGATTAAACTAAAGCTTGGTTTCCAATAGTTGTAGAAATGTTGTACAACAGTTGTACTACAATAATGCTTTATAATGGAAACATTTTCTTGCATAAGTTGCACAACTTAACGTCGGTTGTACAACAAAATTTATGTTGTAAAACAAACGTTGCGGAGATAGAATTAAACCTATTTTGGCAACAATTGTTGTACAACAAAAACACACAACTGCTGCACAACATTTCTACAACTGTTGGAAACCAAGCTTAACAGAGGTTTGTTGAGATTGGCAGTGACAAAGAAAGATAGTCAACAGTAAACAAAGTCATAGCGTATTTTCAACAGCCTGTAAGAACACACAATAATTAGGAGGCCTGGAACTGCTTTCATAATTAGGTAAAATAAAACAATCCAAAACTATTATTTCGACATATACATTTCTATTATATTAAATCTTTTATGAATGTATTTTGCCTGAATGTATTTTGTCAAAATTTTGTCTTATCCTTGACATAAGTTATAGGTGCATATTTACTATATATGTATATTATATACATATATAGTTATATATATATATATATATATATATATATATATATATATATATATATATATATATATATATATATTTATATATTATATACACATATAGTTATATATTATATACACATATAGTTATATATTATATACACATATAGTTATATATTATATACACATATAGTTATATATTATATACACATAGTTATATATTATTATATATATATAGTTATATATATAGTTATATATTATATACACATATAGTTATACATATATTATATATACATATATAGCTAAATATGCATTTATATTTATATAAAGCACATAATGGAATTAAAATTAGATGATGTGTTAAAGCTTAACTAAAAATTAGATAAGAATAAATGGTGCTTTAGTAGAATTGGAAAAAGAAACAAAAACAAAAGCACTTTAAAAATATGGCATACTGAAATCTAAATTTTATTACTGTGTAAATGGAAAGCATCCTGGTACGGTTGATAAAAAAATATTTTAGCTATGGCTGAAGAGCTTATTTTAGTTGCATACTTTTTCCATCTTTAAACTACACAAACTCAACCCATAACTTTTAAATGAGGTAAAATTTATTTAGAAGACCTTTTCAATTATCATTGGATGACTTGTAAATGTAGTAAATGGTTTAGTGGTACTTTTTTATTTCTATTAACTAGATATAATTTCCATTTGAATTGTTTTTAAACCCAAATGTATATAATTGTCTGTAATATAAAAATCTGAAATCAAATTTTTTTATGTAAAAAAAAAATAAAATCTGATAATTAAGCATGTGCGTATGTGTTTATTTTTAATTTTTTTTAATTAAAGCATTTCCCAAAATTTCAAACAGTTTTTGAAATGCATTTTTTTTGAAAAAGTTGGCTTTTTTACGTGCAAGTAATTAACAACAATATTTAACAATAGTATTTTAATGACACTAACTTAGAAACTAATAAACACATCTATTTTTATTAAATTTCTAAATGCCTTGTTTATCTTTATGTACGTTAATAAAAAAAAATGTCAAAGTTTAAAAAAAATGAAGATTGTGAAAGAAAAATTATACTCTGTACTGAGGCTATCAATAATAAGATGTCATATTTAGAAGCCACTTTATGATA